CTGGCCTGCAGCCATCTTTTGATAGTGTCACCTCATCTTTGGCCTGCCACACTTCTAGTCTACTGTGCTGTTTCTACAGTGGGGAATTGGGAGGAGGAGATAGTACAGAGTAGAATGTGATGTAGTAGCCAAAGCAAAATTCCTTTCTAGAAAGCCAAGGTCATCCTTTGTCTTGGCACCTCTGCACCTGACCGGAACTGGATGGGTGGAAGCTGCCAGCATGGCAGTGGGAGATTGGACCATGGGATGGACTTGTGGGCGTGGGGGCAAGATCATGAACTTTAACTCGGGTGGGGAAAACTGAGAAGCTTCAGATTCAGGTTTTCCCAGATGTGCCAGCATGGCTCTCTTAATAAACTTTGAGCAATACTTTGCCTTGGACTCTAGATTTAATTTGGGATGCTATCTGGAATGCTGACAGCTGTATTTGTTAAAATAACATGAATATAACATGAAATAACAGGATAAAATAACTAGAAGGAAGGGGAGGAACACAAGCAGGCATCTGTTCCTCATTCCCGTGGCATTGCCAGGGAAGTGAGAAGACGCAACCATATTACAACAAAGGGGAGAAAGTCCAGACGCCCTCCCACGTTTCCGGCAGGCGGTTTACCTTTCCGTGGCTTTTCCTCATGTGGGACACGTAGGTTTCACGATCAGGAAGCCACTGCGAGCACACCTGGCAAGTCCAACTGCCCGTTTTGGCTTTTGGCTTGGATTCCGGGCTGACGCCTTTCGCGGGCAAAGAGCTCGGCTGAGAAGTACCGTTGACGATGGACAGTTCCTTGGAGGTGGGAAGGGCGGGACTGCTCGTGGCGGTCGTCTCAGCCTTCGGCCGAGCGCTAGTGAAGTCCTCGGGATTTTCTGGGACTCCGTGGATGCTCTGGTGAAAAGCCAAGGAGTTCGAGCTCAGCTAGCAGGTAGATCCACACGGGAAGGCCAGAGCGTGGAATGAACCCAGCCAGCAACAAATGCCTGAGGAGGTCAGTAGCTCACTCTATTTCTAGATCTACCATCTAGACCAGGTTACCAACTAGAAGATGTGACTTGTCAGCCTCCAGCCCCTCCACCAGCCGACTCAGAGGAGGAGGAGGAGGTTTGGAAGTCAGGGTCAGCGTCAAGGCAACCTGAGAGCTCCGGGGAGGAAGAGGGAATG